ATTTTGACACATCATTCTGACTGGTGCCAGATGAACTTCTTGGTCCTCTTTAATGATCTTGGGCTCCACCAGAGGTCTGAGGGACGCCATGATGCCCAGTAACAGATGGCTGCCACCTCCACAGGCAGCAGTGAGGAAGAAATATTATCAGAATTCTAATTTTCTGAGCCTCTACATTTTAAGTGTCTTCCTCAATAAGAATTCCTGGGGCACCTGGGTGGCTCAGTCAGTTAAGCATCTGCCTTCAGCTCAGGTCATAATTCCAGGGTCCTGGGATCAAGCCCTGCACTGGGCTCCCTGCTCACTGGGGAGTCTGCTTCTCCCTCTCCCCTGGCTTGTGCTCTCTCATAAATAAATAAATAAATAAATAAATAAATAAATAAAATAAATAAATAAAATCTAAAAAAAAAAAAAAAAGAGTTCCTAGCCAGAAATTCATACCTACTTTGTTTTTCTGAACTTAAAACAATTTTTAAAAATTTGTTTTCCCTAAGGAATCCATTTGATTTCTTCTTGCCAGCACTATTGCTAGGTCAGCCGGCTAGCACCTCTGTCCCTCCTGTTCCCCCAATCCTCATTCTCTTTCTGCAATTTGGTACTTTTCCTAAACTGCAAGGTGTTCATGGTCACGCTCCGCCTTGAAACCCTTAGATGTATTCCCATCTCATGGCAGCATTTTATTCTCCAGGCAATTCAAAGAGGATTTAACAGAATGATAAAATAATTGTGAAACACTGAGTTCAACACCTTTTTAAAAAGTAGCATTTATGAGGGTGTTTCCCAAAGCATTTTACCACAGCTCCTTTTCTGCCACTACACATGCACCCCTGGGAATTCGAACAGTAGAGTCAGGCTGCCTGGGTGGGAGCCAGCCCAGTCACGGCCAGCAGGTCACCCTGTGCTGTGGTATACCCGTCTGTAGCATGGAGACAGCTAGAGGAGCCATCTCACAGAGCTAAGAGAATTAGATGAATTGATATAGGGAGGGTGTTCAGCACAATACGTGGTGCATTAAAAGGTAGGGGTTATTTTAATTATTTTTGTGACACAGTTTAGAAACAGAATCCAGTTGAAACTCCCTAGCCAGAGACATCAAACCCTTCAAAAGCAGAGTCCCGCCTGCCTTTCTACACTCCTACCCTCCCTGCCATGACCCCTCCATACACACACACACACACACACACACACACACACACACACACACACACCAAGATCAGTGCAAAATGAACTCTGCCCATCCCTGAAAATTCCATGGGCTGTCCTGTTTCTTTACCTCAGCATGGGCTATTCCCTTTGCTTTGTTTCTTGTTTGTCCTATTCTCTAAATTCCAGAGTCTCTGGGAGCAGGGACCCTCTCCTATTCAGCTTCCCTCAGGGACGACTGTATTTGCTGATCTTATGAGCCAGGGCCTGGGTTCTCTAGATGCCATTCAAAATGTCAGCACATCAGGACATTCAAAACCAAATGTGAGGGACGCCTGGGTGGCTCAGTGGTTGAGCGTCTGCCTTTGGCTCAGGTCATGGTCCTGGGGTCCCAGGATCGAGTCCCCCATAGGGCTCCCTGCAGGGAGCCTCCTTCTCCTTCTGCCTGTGTCTCTGCCTCTCTTTCTGTGTCTCTCATGAATAAATAAATAAATAAAATCTTAAAAACAACAACAACAACAAAACCAAACGTGACTCCCAAAAAGTCTACCATATGGATACATGTCATTACACATTTGTCAGAATCCACAGAATGTACAACACCAAGAGTGAACCTTAATGTAAACTACGGATATGGGTGATAATGATGTGTTAATGCGGGTTCCTCAATTGTAACAAATGTTCTGCGCTGGTGTAGGGGAGGGCGTGGGAGTGGGGAGCAGGAGGTGTGTGGAACTCTCTGCTTTCCATTCAGTTGTGCTATAAAGCTAAAACTGCTTTAAGAAATAAAACTGAAGGGATGCCTGGGTGGCTCAGCAGTTGAGCTTCTGCCTTCAGCCCAGGGCATGATCCTGGAGACCCAGGATCGAGTTTGAGTTCCAGTTGGGCTCCCAGCATGGAGCCTGCTTCTCCCTCTGCCTGTGTCTCAGCCTCTCTCTCTGTGTCTCTCATGAACAAATAAGTAAAATCTTTAAAAAAAAAATAAGAAAAAAAAGAAAGAAAAAGAAAAGAAAAGAAAGAAAACCAAAGTCTAAAATGATCAAACGAAGTGGCAAAACACAAATGATAATTAATGTAGATCAAAAATTAAATCAAAATTAATTTTCCTTTCCTAATATAAAGCTCTTCTAGAGTCTAAGATAAGTCTAGCCTCCAGAACACCTCTCATGGCGAAGCCAAATATCCACAATTATCTGGTTTCCAAGCCTTAAGACAGACTGAACATTTTGCTATAGTTTAGACGGATTTTCACTTTCCTTTCTCAAGCTCCATCAGCTCTATTTGGAAAATGACCTGAATACAAAGAAAGTCAAGTGAGTAGAGCAGACCCTATGTTGATCCCCTCCTCCTCCTGCTTCTGGGAGAATGCATTCCTCCTTGAGGTGTGAATGTGCAAGTGAAGAACAGAGGAGAAGATTGCTTGATCTCCTCCTTTAGTTTGAAAGTAGCTATAGTATTGTTTCACAAAAGGCCGTACCTTCAGTGTCATCTGTCACAGAACAAAAGCATACAATTAAAAAAAGAAAGTGACTGGCTCTAATGTGGATGCGCCCATTTAGAGCATGTCAAAATAAAGCCAGCGTTAAATGTCAACCCCACCTTAGCATTAGAAGATCAATCACCCTGCAACACACACTTGACAGTAGAATCTGGACTTCACTGCTTTATCCTTTGTGACAACACAGTTGTGAGCTAATCCGGGTTTGACCTTTGCCCTCTCCCTGAGAGAAACAATAGTCTGCAGAGAGTAATTATTGCCCTATACTTCTCCAAACCCGCCTCCGCTTGCACCTTAGACTCTAGCTCTACCTGGGGATTCACAGAGATGCCTTCTCCACCCCCAAAAGGGCGCCTGCCCTTTTGAGTCCTTGGATTTTCAAAAATCCAATTCCCCATGCCCTGGATGGCCTTGCTTTCTTTTCCACCTGCTGAAGTCCTATGCATCCTTCAAGTCCCCGTGCAGAGAGTGAAGGCTCTGTTCATCTTTCACCGAACACCCTCTCCCCCTCCCAGGGCCGTAGTGGTCGGCGGTGCAGACTGTGTACTGCACAACTCTAAGAAGAGCTGTTGCCTTTCAGGCCTGCCCCTGCACTGCAGGTTAGCATGGATAGCATTCAATCTGAACTGCTTATTTAAATGCCGGATTCCCTTACTCACCTGTGCATCTCTTGAAGACAAAATTATACCCTATTTATCTTCATTCATCAAGTCCTAACGTAGTACCCTGGCACGCTGCGGTCACCCAAGATTTTCTTCAATCAAAAATCTTTTAAGACACTAAAACTGGGACAATTACAAAACATTCGATGCAGCACTAGGCATTTTCCATACTACTTACAACAGCTCCATAAGCCAAGTGAGTACCATTATTCCCATTTTACACATGAGAAAACTGATGCCCAGAGAAGGGCAGTGACTTTTCCAAGCACACCTACTAAGTGACAGAATGATAATTTAAACCCAAATCCCAGACACACAAGACTGAGCCTGTGACTACTTAATAAGCACATGCGATAGTGCCCCCCGATGCATGCAAAGAATAGTTACTTTAACGTGAGTTACCGAGATTACTCAAAAGTGGAACTAACTGCATATCTTTTTAAACGATCTTTTAAAGCTTTTAGGCCAGTCGTCTAACCAACCAATCTTCACTATTAAGGTTTTTCCTTTATGCCCACGCATATATTTACATATGCACACCCAAAGGCGCTACCAAGAAGCAAAAAGGGACCAGCTCTCAAGCTCCATGTAGCTGCTGGACAGGAGAGTCTCCGTTACAGGAAAATAAACGTCAGAGGAAGCCCTGATCACAGAAACCCAAGTACAAACACGAAGACTGGCAGGAGACAGCAGTGCTCAGGTGAAACAGTCCCCCAGGGGACGGCAGTCGGCCTGTGGAGGACGCCATGGGGACAGAAGACGTTCCCTGACCCCAATTCCTTTGTGTATGTGGTGAGAAGGTGGATCACGAACACGAAGGTGTGGGGAGAGACAGCAACCTCCATCGCTTCCAGCAGCGCCATCCCCTCACACCACCCCCGCCCTGAGGTGGGGGGCAACGCGCTCACAGGGCCTAGGGGGCCCACCACGGAGCTCTTCCTGGTCCTCAGATCTCAGGGGCTGGAGTCACCCCAGCACTGGCACCCAATCGACCACACCAACCTCCCCCCCTGGCCTGTCTGCCCCACGGGCAGAGGACACACGGGCGTGTGTGGGCTTCTCCCCGGAGCCTGAACGTCTGGAAGACTGGAAAGAGCAGGGCTTGCCTGCTGTCTCCCTGGGGACGGTGATAACGCGACAGCCTGCACCGTCAACCCCGGCTCTGCTTAAAACCCAGAAGAGTCTCACGGGCGGCCCGAAGAAAAGCAGGGTCGTGAGGAATCTTGAAGGGAACAAAACGCCCATTTTACAAGCGCCCATAAGAGCCTCAGTGGTCTCGCTTGTTTTAAACACTTTTTCAATTTCTCCCCCTCTTTGAAGAGGAAAATATAGAAACAAACAAACAAACACAAAAAGCAGCTGCATCCAGCCCCTAAGTGGGCGTCTTCTCCTAGATGTGCAGCTGGCTGCCAAGACCCCGGCCACCCACTCGATGGTTTTAGAGACAGACGATGACTTTAGACGCTGCCCCCCAACATCCTCACCGGCGGGAACAAAGGGGAAGCCACCACCCCGTGCAAGGCTCTGGGCCGGGTCCTTGCTCCGCACGGCACCGGAGCAGGCCTCCTGATGCACGGAGGCTGTAAGATCGAGCCCGGGCCAAGGACAGCAGGATCCTTCTAGACGCGAGGCTGGGGCAGGTGGCCGGTCCCCGGGCGAGTTCTGGCTCGGACACCTTCCCGCACACCCGCTCTTACCTCCCGCAACTCCAGCCTCTGGGCCACGGCCTCCAGGCACTCCTGCCCCGTGCTCTCCACCGACAGTGTGCACTCGATGACATTGCTGTCCAGCAGGCGGATCCGCGTGACAAAGCAGTTCTTGCTCAGGACGTTGTAGCGCCGCGTCCGGCGGAGCTTCAGGCCGAAAGGCATGGCTATGCGGCCCTCGGACGCCGCCTTCCTCTCCTGGCGCCCACGGCCCTGCGACGGCCTCAGCAGCTTCGTGACTGGGTGAGGACACTCGCACACGTGCTCCTCCAGATGCCGGGAAAGGTGGCCATGCCCGGTGCGGCACTCCCGAGGGGCGCTGCAAAGGGAAAGGCAGCAAGGTCATGAGCCCCGAGGGAGCTTTGGACGCTGTGGCACATTCCATGCACGTGAGCCCACGGCCCCCGACGGCTGAACATCCCCACTCGAGATCCTGCAAGCTCTGCGGCTTCTGAGGCCTTGGCGGAGCCCAGGCTCTTTACCTTATCTTACAAGGGGGCAGATCTGATCAAATCTACTGGACAGCTGAGGACACGGAGGGTCGGAGAGATGAAAGGAACTGATCCAAGGATGCACAGAGTGAACGGCGGAGCCAGAATTCAAACCCACGTCTGTGCAACTGAAGCTCACGCGCTTCTTTCGTGTATCATCCTGTCCACTCAAGAAAGCAGCAGGAGTGGAATCTGAGCCCTGCTTACCTTCTAAATAGATTATCTCATTTCGATCTCATTAACCCCACCAGATGGTGTAGATTTTAGGATCCCCTTCAACAGAAGAAGGGAGCTTTAATGATCTAAGTGACTCGTTGATCCCGAACATAGACTCTTCTCTCGTTCCTTGTTCCTCTTTGCAACACTGCCTCTTTGTTTTTCATTAACATTTGTCTTTAATTTTTTAAATTTTTTGTCTTTAATTTTAATATTTATTTTATTTACTTTATTTTCTTACTTCTACACTTAGAATGGATGACAGAAAATGGCAGGAATGCACATTTTACAGAGTCAATAACATCGTACGTTTGAAAACGTTTTAAATATATGAATCCTTTTGTGGATTTAAGATCATGATTCTCTGCGGTTTTCTTTAACAAAGAGTTGAACAGTTAGATGTGGGGGAGTCGCCCGTCATTTTGTTCTTTTACAAAATGCTTGATGCAGAAGTCCTGTCACCAAATTATAATTTAACTTACTAGTAATGGGATATATGGACATCCTGATGTCCCACGAAAGTCAAGTGATGATGTGATTGTCATGGAGAACACCAGAATAAAACAACAATAAAAGTGGCCTTACTGTTCCACCCTGAGCCAGCCAACACTCCCACTGGGAGCTCATTAAGCGTATCTTCCAAAGAAGCCAGAAATGTCCAGGCAGCCTCTCTGCTCAACTCTTCCTTCTCCGTTAAGCTCTAAAGACCATCACTTGCTCCTACGATTGTTCTGTTGATTCCCTAACTCAAGCAGATTCGGTCTGTCTTCACACCCTTCATCCACAGAATTACCTATGAGCTCCCAGACACTTACATGGGCAAATGCAAATAACTACTAACAGAAATTCCTGAATTAATAAATAAAATGGCTTTACTATCTAGAAACCACTCCCTGTCAGTACCCCAGGCCTCACTGAGGTTGTCAGGGCACAACCCTACAACACAGCAAAACATACTTCCCAGACTCCCTCGGCCAGTCTTTGATGTGCCTGCCCTCCAGCACATTCCTTAGCATGACAGGTATATGTTTTATGATGGCTTAAAATACACATTCTAGAGACTGTGGCTTGGTGAAATCTATTAACGTTTCTAAATCACTTTGTGTTGGCACAGTGTCCTGTTTACCTCTAAGGTAGGCCAACCCGATGATCTGATATCTGTAGAAAAGACTATGTAGGGATCCACCCAAAAAAGCAAAAAAGAGAGAGTCAGAATTCAAATACAGAGCCCTTAAGAGTTGACTGCTCTCACACATTCCTTCACTTGTTGAAGCACAGGAGAGCAGACACTAAGATTTAACTCATATATAAACCAGGGAGCCTCAAACAGAGAAAAATATTTGCTCTGTGGGCATAGGCCACATTTCTAATCCTGGGCCAGGCACTTTACATTTGGGTGTGTCTCACCTTAAACACCTATGAAAGAATGTGGCTGGCTAGGTACAGGTTCATCCCAGCCACTATTAAAAACAATCTGTGCTGTATGTTTTACAGAATGCCATCCATAATGCACAGTTAGTGAAATAAAAAGTAAACATACACAAAATATAGAGATGATTGCTATTTTTATACTAAACAAAAAAAACCACAATGTAATGGGAAAGAATGTACGTTCACTAAAAGGATTAATAGGGCTACACAGAGGTGGTTTTATATAGAAGTCTATATTATACATTTTTGAACTGTTGTAACATTTTATAGTCGCCTTATATTATGTTTGCAAATACACATTAGCTTAAAATATATTAGCTACCAAAAATGGTATGTCAGAAGCAACAACTGACAAATCTGGCAATATATCTCCTAAAAAATGCCTGACGATTTTAAAGATTTTTAAAATATCCCGTTTGCAAGAAACTTGCCAGGTAAGGTATCAAGAAAAAAGTTATGAGAAAACTGGTCTGAAAACTCAATGTTGTGGAAAAAAAAAAAACAAACTGAATGAGGCAGGCGAGCAAGCGGAGAGGCGGGCGGCTCTAGAGTGAAATAGATTTAGGACCTATAAAAACAAAATGCAACGTGTGAACTTTAATCAAATCCAGGTTTTAAAAAATAGCTATAAAAGACATGCGGCAACAAGGGAAATTTGAAATAGACCCTAGAAGTTAGATGATATTAATGTATTGCTGATAATTTTCTTCTGAATTTGATAGTGGAATTGTGCTTGTCTAACAGAATGCTTCAAGAGATGCCAGTGGATACATCTAACAGTAAAGATGTCATAATATCTGTAATTTATTCAAAAATGGCTTAAAAAAGCAATATGTACCTAGACAAATCAAGAGTTGAAGAAATATGACAAAACATTAACAGCTGTTGAATCTAGATGGTGAGTGTAGAGATATTGACTTCACTGTTCTTTCAGCTTTTCTGTCTACCTAAAAATGTTCATAGTCAAAAGATTAAGAAGAAAAAAAAAGGCAACCCTCAATGCCAGTACTAAACATAGTCCTTATCGCTCAGTTGAAACGTAGCTGCCTCTTTCAATAGATTTCTCTGATCCCTCCCATCAAAGTCTTCTTTCTTTGTCTGAACTCCCACATCATTTCTGCTTACTTTAACATACTCATCAAACTTGTGTTTAAAGTATTAGCACATTTGACTCTAAACTCCTCTGGAGCTAGAGACATGTTTTTTCTCTCTCTCACACCCAGATCTTTCACGTAAATTAAAAGTTCACGGCCTTCACACCCAGAACCTGTGTGGCCGTAGAGCTGTCCTTCTGGAAGAAAGAGCTTTCAGATGCTCATTGAAGCCACCCCTCACCTCTAGGATGGGTTCCACCTAAATGATTCAAGTAAACAATCTATGTGACACTCATCTGTAACGATAGGATTAGAAAAGATGACCTCTTAGTCCCTTTCAGTTTTAACATTTTAATAGCCCATGAATTATCAGCCATGTCTAGCTCTCAAGGAATCCATAGCACATGTATCACGAGTCCATCTTTTAACCATTTATAGGCACAGAGTTCGACGTTATACGTAACCCAGCACCCTCTGTATCTTAAGCCTAATTCTTATGCTTTGTCCTTGACGACCAGAGGGAGCAGGGATGAAGATATGCCACAGACAGTAGACTTGCCTGTGAGATCTATTACAAGCAAGTCCTCTCCGTTAATTAGTCTGGCTCCTGGCACTCTCATGACTTTCCTCGTGTGGTTCTCAGGGGCCCCATCATATTTACTTTAGCACATGAACAACATTATAAAACCTAGAACTAAGTGCCATATTCTCATAAAAAGGTCACATGTTTATGACTCTTCAGATTTTCTGATGAAATTGGCTTTTCAAAAGAGGTAAATTAGGGGGTCGTCAATTCTGTTTACCATAAGATTTTTTTTAATGGAAAAAATTTACATTTTTTCCTTTACTAATAAAGTCATTTTTTTCTTTACAAATAAAGTCTAGAGTTTTATTTATCTATAAGAACATACCCAGTAAATAATACCAGGCTGCAAATGTTGCTGAGACCCATTCATGGAACTTTAATGGAAGGGACTTTTTGTTGTTGTTGTTAGTATAAATAGTGAAACCAACAGTGCTGACCATGATTTTTTCTCAAGACAAACAGTAACATGCTCTAACTTCAAAACATCATCTGTTGATCCTCTTTTTCAAAGATATACCAGAGTGAGAAAGATAGCATCGGATAAGAGAGTTAGACCCTAGCCCTTCAAGTGACTAGAATCACGGGGATAAGAAGCAAATGTGAAAAAAAAAAATCACAGGGAAAGTGCCACCAACTCTCTGACCTCTCAGGCTCTGGGGTCCATTCCTTGAAGCAACTGGGAAGCGTGTTTGGAAGGCTGCCTGGAGGAAGGACACCCACATGCAGAAGGCGTGAAGTACAGTAGAGCAGGGAGGTCCTCTCTAAGGACCAGAGTTTTACTCTGGAGACAAAGGGAACATGTGCAAACTTTCCTGCAAGAACTGGCCTGGGTGAATGCCAAGTGACGTAACCTGTCTCAGCCTCAGTTTACTCATCTGTGAAAATAATACCCTCCCCACCTGTTTGTGAGAAATGAGAAAATGCTTCTGTGAAGAACTCAACAGGCAGAAACATGTCCCTTTCCCATGCCCCCCAGGACAGGAAGCCCCGTTTGCTCAAAGGATAGTAGAGCAGCTATGAAAAGAAGGACTTGGGTATCTTATCACCTACAGTCTTAAAAATAAAAAAAAAGGCAAAGCAAACAACATGGAGTTGAACATGAACGTATGACAAGTCCTGGGGAAACTGACCAAGTATAAAACTTGACCCACGTATTCTCTCAGAACTCTACTTTGTAATCGCCCAAATGCTGACACCTGGAGCAAAAAGGAGCCAACCATTAGAAGAAATGCTCCCATAAACAGTCCATCCTACATGGGTAGGAAGGCCATGGCCTTTTTCTTATCTTCGTCAAAAAAAGGTATATAGTGTGTTGTGTTAAACAACTGTTTTTTTTTTCCCCCAATGGAAATTGATTGCAATTTATGGTCATTGGTCTTATAACCCATATGGTTGTGTCTCTATAGCTGATGGCACATCACAGTCTCCCTCACCCCAGAGAAACCCCTAGATGCGTTTTAGCTCCCTAAATAGAATTTCAAAGGGAAAGATCTGTGTCAGA